CAAAATGAAATCGCGCATCGAAAAATTAGCCAAAGCTGTGCACCACATCTGTCGGGAGATAAGCCTGGGACGTAGATAAGTATGGTCACATACACATTACGGAGCACCATAGCCCCTTGTCACCAGGCCTCCAAATCATACTCGGCCACAATATCAAATATGGCGACCAGACACGAGGAGTGTATATTTTAAAAATCCTTAAAAATACGTTAAGTTTGCATGCAAATTTAGTTTAATTTTTTCCCACAATAGAATTAATTTCAGAATGATTAATACAAGTACATTATTGTAAACTTAATAGAATATAAGTTTAAACTTACTGTTCCAGCTGACACTTGCCAGCCTAGTAGCTGCTATCTACTCAGAGGCACCGGAAGCAATCAAGGGCATGCGGGGTGTAGCATAACAGGTAAGGCACCTTGCCACCTTAGTTTACCAAGTCTGTCTTTATTCAATTATTGAAAATTATATGAACAAACTGCAAGAAGCTAGACAATCTTTAATTTGGAAAAGCTACACTGGCTCTCCTGGCAGACAAGACTCCCCAGGTCCGAAATTGTTTAATTTGGAGCTAAAAACAACTGTCCAGAGTTTCTGGGTCAAATAACTGCAGGAAAGCACTTATATTTATCTTATTATTATTTTAATTGTATTCAAAAAGCAACATATACATTTGTTAAAACTTATAATACCATTAAGTATTTTGTTAAATTTAATTAGAAAGGTCTAACCTCTTTGTTGAGAAAATATTGATATTTATCATAAAAATAACTAGTTTTATTCAAAGGGAAATTTGGCAACATGATGCTGGAAAATGCGTTTGTGAGAGTTCCAAGACAACTAAGTGTCCACTATGTAGAGTTGAAGATCAGATGAGTGACAACAAAGTCAAATGTGCAAACTACTAGACAACTAAGAAAAGCAAAAGCACGTACCATCTCCTGCCCTCCTGAACATATACCCTAAGTGAATTGCCTACTCCATTATAAGAGAGGGTTGTATATTGTCTGACCACTCATTTTTAACACTCTTTGCCAGGCAAGTTGGTCTTAAGTAGAACCCACATCTTGCAAACCACAACCAACACACTCTGTCATCAGATCAAAATTGAGCTTTGAACAAGAACAAAGTGCCAAGTGTTTTGGAAAATTGGCCTTTTATTGAAAAATCATGGGTGGGGCTTAGAAATTTCCCAAGGGGTAAGCAAAGTGTCATTTTTTTCACAAAGATGTTAGAGGGTTTAGCATCTTGCTCACTTTGAGAAATTTTGGAATGTATTAATATTCTTAAAGTTAAAGAGTCGTAAAGGACTCTTGGAAACACATTTTACTGCATTATGTTGCCAATTTTTCCTTGATTAAACCTAGTTATTTGCTGACAAAATATCAATGTTATCTCGACAAAGGTGTTAGACCTTTCTAATTAGTCATTTTCGGAGTAACTAACACAACAAGTAATTTTAAGGATGCTGAGGCAGTGGGGGAGCTTGCCCTATATATGCTCATGGAAATTGAATGTATCTTACTAGTCTAACTTTTGTTTTGTTCATGTAATTTTCAATAATTATCTGAAATAGCCTTCACCCTATAGCGATGACTGCCAGGCACAAGTTCTGAATAGATTTCCGCTCTAGGTATGTTGCCAGAAAGTTATATAAAATCTTAGTCTTCTAGTCAAACGTTTAGATGCTGAATATCCCCGTTTAAAATGTACATTTAAAATTTTCGAATAACTGTAGGGAGCCACCTTAATAGTTTCATGGCTTACCTAAGTCCAAAATATTCTTCGTTTGCTGGGCTCCAATACTCAACTGTTTAAGCCGCGTCTGAAGCTTCTCCATACTGCATTGATCTTGGTGATCCGTTTTAATTCAACTGCAATCCTGGACAAACGGTTAATAAAAGTATTCAAATCTTAAAAAAATGTTTTGGTGCAACTTGAAGCAAGTGTTTCCCCCCTTTACCCCCCCAATCAATGTTGGATATCCTGTCAAGTTGCCTTTGCTTGCTAAACTCAACATTGCCAAGGGAATGGGGGGAGAATATCGCATGAAACAAGTAAGTTAATCGGAATGAAATGAAAATTGTACTTTACAAACAGCGTTATTAACAGGTTTTGTCCATGATTGTGGCGTTTCCGTCGTCCCGTCTCGGAGGTACCACGTGTCGAGAATGTCCGCCTCCGTGCACTGTAATCTCCGACAAATCACAAAAAAACTTTAGGTTTTAAACAAATTCATTGATCACACATACACCACAACACTCCTCTTTAGAATCTAAATCGATTGCACGTTTTTACATCACACCCATTGAATATATATCCCATTCCATTACCTTGACAACTACCCAATTATATGCTGTGTCATCGGTCTCCAACAAGAAAAAGAGATGTCTTACTGTTATACTAACCCATGGGTGCGTAAACAATTTTATCCTTAGAAATTAGTTATTTAAAAGTTATTTGGTTTTATTCAACACAGGAATAAATACGCCACTGTCATAGTAACCATACTATGGAATAACCCACTACTCGAGTACATTACCATCAGTTTGAGATAACTTAGCAGAATTAAAACAACACAAGAAAGTTGGAATTTTTAAACTTTTACTGGGTGGAAATTCAATAACAACTGCCAGTTATGACAAAGCTATACTAATTACATAATTGATTATAATATAACAAGAACAAGAATCAAATAAGCGCTAATGACGCGTCTTTCAATTATCAGCCATAATCGCTTACACAAATTAGTTCTCATAAGCATTAACATAAAGTAAAGTTGGAACAGACTGACTGACCAATATGCTGACTCACAATCTTTCATTGGGACGCGTCTAAAAACTACAAAATACTGTTGTATACAATTAACTACAAATCCTACAAATTGCAATCTAAATGAAATATAGAGCGAGTTGCACCATATGGGATGCCTTTTTAAGCCATAAAAGGGCGTTTACACCATGTTGCACACAAAAATTCAATATCTATTCCCTTTGGCACAAAAGCATTATTTTGTCATGATGATCAGTGATTACTTTTTCTTTCGCCAAAACATGGTATTGTCATGAACTCCTATATTTTGGTCACGAACGACAATTCTTCTCAACATAAGTGGATTATCATTTAAACTCGTTCACCAGAAAAAAACATTCGCAACGAAATCCATAATGAATGTCAGTCCATTAATTATCCCGAAGTTGAAATTTTAGTATATAGTTATTTCTTTTTACGATTGTTAAGGCCAACAGGCCGTGTTTTATTTTTCGAAAAAGTTAATTTTTTCGACGTTTAAGATAATTTTTTTCACGTTTAGCAAATAAACTTACCTTTCGAAGATATTATCTTGTCAAAATTACTAATTATAACCTGTTAAAATCATGATAAACATGATAATGATAGATTTGTTCGCTGTGAAGAAATTTTTTTTTTACATAGCAATTATAAAGCCTCAAATAATATTATAGAATATGAACGAATCACTCAAACAGAAATGGTTCCGCAGAATACAAAGGCGGCGTCTTGGAAATTGTTTTGCGCATTTTTTACAACAAAATTAAGAAGTTGACCTTTACCTGGCATTCTCCCAGGCCGCGTCGTTTGGGTTTGTCATTTTAGCCATATAAGGAACATCAAAATCCTTCCGCAAATTTCTGACTAGTGCATGCATGTTTGGTATCAGCTAAAAGCGTGTTCTTTGATTGCTTTCCTAATTGTTTGTTGCGCTCGATCTCGTCGTAGAGGACTTTGGCTGGTTTTTCAGAGTCATGTTTTTTACGCCAGCAAATTTACTTTTTTGTATCTAAACAATTTATTCCAGGGGACAGTTGTATAAAACACTAGGTAACTTTTAACTATACTTAAGGACAGAATTGATCAATCAGAGTCGTGTATTTCTGAGTTAACTAGGATTTAACTATGCAAAATATAGTTAAAGAGTTTAATACAACTGGCCCTTGATGATTGCTGCTGAGAACTTTGAAGCGAAGTAAAAGATCGTTTCTCGTAAGAATCATTGCTAGTAGGAAACCGGAAATTTCCTGTCAACTGCTTTTGTGCACGCGACTTTTAAGCCCACGTTTTACGCGCTATCAGTCTCGGACCTCAATATAGTTAGCAGGGCAGATGGTTAGCTGCAGACGTGTCTGTTACCAGGAACTGAACCTTTCACACTGTGTCGATTCCCAGCTGGTTTATTGTAGGAATGCCGTCATTACATTGCAGCGCCACGCTCCTGATTTACGTAGCATCCGCTACACATGCAGTTCTGTCATGAATCACATATACAAAGGGACCAGACCGTTTGTTAAGTTATGTGCTAACTACATCCGTTTGCTTCTACCAAACACACCAATGTCTGCCTTTCGTGCTTATCTTCCAATATGTCTTCTTCTTTAAGGGCAATGAGCCTACTCCTAGGCGCTTAGATACCGCCTTGACTAGCTGTTCATGTGCAGTTCTTAAGATATTAACTTTCGTTTATGCGTAAACTCATAATACACCATTTGCCGTAATTTTATCACAATTTTTAGCCAAAATTTCTGAACTTTATTTAAATTTAATAAAATTTGACCAAATGTTCTACTACGTAGGCCTATGCAATTCGAAATGCACGCGGGTAATATTTGTTATAAAAATCAAACAAACCGATTATGAACATTTTAGCATAATATAATTAAGCTGAAATTTATCAGATTTTTAATTTTCGGAGTTAGTTTTGTTTTATATCTTTTTTTAAGCGGACAAAATTTCACAGGCGATTAAATTTTCCTTATAATTAAACCAATGAAGAGTTAGATTGTTTACTGCATGTATGTATATTTATGTCATATAGTCAGTATGTAATATTCTAGTAGGAAATATTTTAATTTCAGTGATGTTTTTAGTAAGATATTTATGTTTAGACCAGTCATTGGTGTCTTGGGATGTGTTAGTGTGCAGTGGTCGCATGTCACGCAGTACCGATATTTTACACTAGACGTCGCCGTTGTTTTCTGCAGTCGCGTCCCAATTATTATTAACTATGTAATTAAGCAGCAAGAAAAAGAAAATCTAGTCTATTATCTAACCCAGTGTCCTTGAATGATTGTGATCTCAGTAACAATCCACACCGACATCACGACTATGGTCGCAGTACCGGGGAGGATTATTCCATCCACCATGACTGCAATCCCAGATGAATGACTCATCCCCAGAGCATCGAACAAGAGAAAGCAATACAGGACCTACAGGACCACTTCCGTGGCCATAGTAAGTCTGGAGTATGATCTTGGTCGCTCCAGAGAAACCCAACTGACGACAGATGACGTTACCTTCATTGATCTTCAAATGGTCACTACCGCCCCAATGACACACTGTGCCCCAGCCAAGTGTTGGATGATAGATTTCCACTCTTCCACTCATATTGCTACTTGAACCATTCAATCTTATTATCAGTTCAGAGTTGGCTATAACATATAGACAATTACACATGTTAAGGAAAGACAACTTCCAGTTTATTTTCAGTCCTAACAATTTTGGTTATACTGAGCTAAGAGACATTAAATTTTGTTAAAATTCAACGCACATCACCGATTCGATAATTTATGTTTAAAATTTTCTGTTTCGTTGGTAACAAATAAAGCCAGCATTAATACAATCATCGTATTGCTACTATATAACTTCATTTGGGCTATATACTGTTAAGAAAAGATTAACATTAAATCACAACCAACATTCGAACATTTTGTTGCTTCCGTTATCATCCCTGCCTGCTGCCTACTGCCTACTGCCTACTGCCTACTGCCTACTGCCTACTGCCTACTGCCTACTGCCTACTGCCTACTACTGTATAATTAAAAACTGAGAAATGGATGCATGGATCATCCGCCCAACACACAATTAGAAAAAAGCTGTGCAAATTCTTAGAGCAAAAGCACAGATTTCGTTGATGATCTGCATGATGATGTTTGCTAATTTGAAAAGTTTATTGATAAATTCAAATTGATCTTGCGAAAATAATAACTGATTATTGGTTGAGCGTGTGGTCTGTACTGTGAAATATCAGACCGAGGCTTTTTAGTATAGTGATCTAGGGACGTAGAAGCGAGGATCGCGCAAAGGTCAACAACCGAGATACTAGCACAGATACAGAATATGCGGACCGAGGTCCGGACATGGGTTTTTCGGCTCCTCGTCAACCAATCAGAACAGCGGATTTTTAAAAAGAAAGTTTTATGATGATAAAACGGACACATAAAAACAGTTGCCGTACTTAGAGGCTGTTTACATGGTGTCGTTTCAGCCTGGCAAACAATTAAATGGCAAGTTTCAGCCCAGGCTGTGTTTCAGAATTATTTTAAGACGAGGCTAAAATTTCAGCCCGGGCTGAGTTTCTAAAGGCTGATAGTAGAACTATTTCGATTCTTTGAGCCCTTTAAAACCCGAAATGACAATATTATTGTTTTTTAAGGGACTATGATTGAACATAAAAATGAAAAAAACAAACAAAAAGTCATTGTCAAGGCAAAGTTTTCTGTCCAGGTTTAAGTTTGTTTATGATTACATGACAATCCCAGCCCGTGTAGCTTAAAAAAAGCTGAAAACTGTGCCCGGGCTGAAATTATTGTCATATAATCGCGAGGTACATTTTATTGGCATTTCGTAACAATACCGGGCTGAATTTTCAGCCCTGCATGTAAGCCGGACTGGAACTCAGCCCGGGCTGAAAAGACTCATGTAATCATGCAGACCCTAAGTTACTTTTACTGTTCTTCGCAAAAATCGCTAAATTTCACTGACTTGACAGTTTTATGCGTTTTCCACGTGGTTGAAATAATAATGGGATCAAGGTTGCTGACTATGGTTGTATATATTAACTCGTATACAAGCGTCTCTACAAAGCACCTTTATCTAATTGAGTACATTTATGTTTTGTGTGCGATTTCTCTAACCACAACATACACACATATAATTATGATGTATGCTAAATTTAATTTCTTATAGTTTTAAAATATGGTTAAGAACATGATGCTTAATAGTTGCAATGAACGGGAAATGGCTGCTAGTCAATCGAAATGTGATTTTGAAGAATCTGCAAATAACTATGCTTTCTAGATCAAGATCAAATGACAAAAAGCAGACGAAATCAGTATGATCACTAGCGAGTGCTTGTGTGCAAACTGATTTATACAAGTTCAGATATAGGTAAACATTATTAAATCAGAATTATATTTGCAGCGGCAGGGAAAACCTGAAAGAGCGTATTCATTCCGCCTCTTTATGTGCAGCCGGCTTTTTACCCCGGCGCTATATCTCATATGTATGACCTTAACGGTTATGCAATAAAATTTACAAACCAAATGAGAATTATTTATTTGCCTGAGAATTACCAATTGCACCAGCTGCGGCAGTTGAGGAGCATGGTCGCCTTAGAATTAATATAATGCTTAAGTAATTTAGCTTGTAGGTACACCACGTAAGTATTTAATATACTGCAAAGGTCTGCAAAGCTTTCGGTCCGTTAACGCGGGCCTTCATCAGTGCAATAGATACGATATTTCCAATTCATGTTGTCTACAATTAGCAATTATTGAATGAGGTTGAACATGATATGAAGAATTATGAAGCCGAAGTTTGTTATTATCAACCGAAACGAAGGCTGAGGTTGATAATGACAAACTGAGACTTGATAATTCTTCATATCATGTGAAAACCGAATTCAATAAATGTTTTATTATTTATTTAAAAGAACGAACATGTATTCCTCAAAGTTGCCGAACCTTTCACTTGAGGAAGCCATTGTGTTGATGTCTTCGCCATTCCTGTGACGTCAAACGTAGGATACGACTATTTATCACACTAAAAAAAGTTGTATCACACGTTATGACGTCACACGTTTGATATGATTATTTCACACATAGCTATTAGCCAATCACAGACTGTGAATTCTTTTAAATAAATAATAATCCAATTTATTGGCTCTCGATCTACGAACGTTCCCAAAGCTACAATTTAACGCAATGCATGACAGTACCAGTGGCCGGGACAGTTAGCATATTTTATTTATTTTTTGGGGAAAGGGCTGAATTTAAAAGGTTGATTAAAATTAATCAAAATAAAATATATTAAAAGCCTCAAAATTGATCAAAATTTGCTAACCACTACCAGTCTACCATACAAAATGCAACCCAGAAATATGAATGCAGTCCATGCAGTCTATACTCCGGGCTTGACATGCCGTGAAAAAATGAGTAGCGACTTTAGCTTTTTTAAAGAAAACAAATTTATTTTGACGGGCGAGCAGCAATTTGTCGACTTTGTTTTTACATCTGTGTATACATTCGTCGTGTATTTTGGGGGGTCAGAACATTCCACTTTAGTATAGCAGAATGAATTTTCTTTAGCGCATTGTATATATATTTGGGTGCCAGTATATTCTGGATATAAACGATACACAATACTTTTCATCACAACAAAGCTATATAGACGTCGGGCGAAACCTCAGACGATAGTCTGCCACTTTGGTCTTAAATATTCAACGAACTGATTATTCTTTCAGAGATTTCTAATGTTGCAAATGCAGAAGATGTACCTCAGGATAACGAATTGGACATAATAATGTTTATTGACTCTTCGAAAACGTGCGGAATTCTAATAAAACTGGCGAAAATGTGCGGAAATATAGCAACTTATATATAATCGAATTTTGTAATACGCTTTCTATCAAATTACGTAAATGTAGTATCAAAATGTTTATCAGAAAGAAGGGTTGACTAAAGCGTTCTCTTACGAAAAGCATGGGCCGAATGAAATTAGATATTTTCTATAGATGACTTAAAGGGAAATGGCAATATATTTGTTTATTTTCTTATTTGAAAAGCTTTGAAAACTATATTTAATTCTCTTTTACCGTTTTTTATATCTTGCTTACATCTACAAATATTTTGATCGAAAAGAATGAAATATCCGCCATCTTGGATTTTTGTAGATATACAGTTACGTCACAACATGGGTCACGCAATATTTCTATCTCGACAACCACCAATCATTTTGCACTCAAAACTATACTCAGTATGCTCTTCGAAATATCAAGTTCACTCAACACCTTTAAAACATCTACCAATCAATATTTGGCCAGCAACGAATACTTTTATATGGCTAACCCCTGTTGTGACGTCATTAAAACTACCGTTAATGAGATAAAAAATTATCCAAGATGGCGGATATTTCATTCCTTTCGATCAAAATATTTGTCGAAGTAAGCAACATATAAAAAAAACGGTAAAAGAGAATTAAATACAGTTTTCAAAGTTCTTTCAAATGAGAAAATAAAAAAGTATATTGCTATTTCCCTTTAAAAAAATTTCAGGAACTTAATCGCAACTAAAATCTTCAATCAAGGGCCGCGGAACCGGGGGGCACTGGGGCACGGTGCCCCCCCCCCCACTTTTTTAAAAACACCGAAATGTGCCCCTTTTTTCAAGCGAACGTGCCCTTCTTTGAGTCATTAAATGTGCGTTATTGTTAACAAAAAATACGAAACAGGACTACTGGAGTACATGATCTCAGACTCAGTAGATATTTGTATGTAGCAAAATGTTGCATTGAGTTTGTAATTAATAATTACGTAAGGTATAACCTACGAAAACTAGCCTTCGTTGGGCACAAGGATCAAAATCAAATATAATTATTTGTATTTAGCTGTCTTCGTAGAAGTCCGACCATTCGCATAATTAATTGTTGAATTGAAAATTATAGATTTGTGATATAGTTCTATATGAGAAAGTGGCCTTTTTTGTCAGTGGCCCCCCCACTTTCTAAATGGTTCCGCGGCCCTTGTGACTTCAATATTGTTGTGTTCAAACACTCAAAAAAGTAGAGGTACCAAAGAGTTTAAAGTTGTTTAATCTCAGCCATCAGAACTACAACTACGTAACAACAACGTGCAAGTACTCGCTCATAAAATGGTCAGCGTTAGACCAAGCGTCCAGTACTTAATGTAACACACAACACTTTCCCCCCCTCTTTTTATTATATAAAAAAAACGTGAATGTTTATATACATACTGTTATTCAACTCAACTGAATAATGTTAGCTCCACCACAAGTTCATTGCATCACGCATTTTCAATCAACCGGCTGGGAGGTCTTCTTTCGCCACGTGGGTAACGTGGTTCGAACACAGAACCTGCAGTCCTCTCCTCCGGTTCGTTTGTCGTAGTTGAATCACGAGTCTGCGTCAATTCAGCATCAGAAACCGATGACTGGGGCGATGAGTCCACTGGGATAGCGTTAGGCTCCGCTGGAAGGTCTAACCTGGGATTTTGACTAACCTCAGGAACAACTTCTCGGCCTCCCGGTGGTGGATTATCCATATCTGATGGGTGACAGGCGCGAATCTGGTCGATATGTCGTTTCCACTGCATGCTGTCGACTTGGACGGTATAAGCGACCGGTCCCAGTTTGTT